TATGATCTGGATAAGTTCTGCAAGCTTAATTAACAATTCATATAAACATGTTGTCATCAATGTTTTGATAGAGGAAGGCTACATAATGGAGTCTGTTCACTTTTCTCTTATTTGAAACACTTCTACAGTTCCCAAATATTTCTTACCCCAGCTTTACTCAGTGTTTTACTTTATCTAAAAAAAGATAAACACAAAACTTTATAACCCAGGTCATATGGTTTTGTATTTTTCTCTTAAATTGAATTTTTGAATCTATGTGTTTTCCTAACATCATGAATCGGCATCTAAAAGTCAACTTAAATTTTATTATTGAGGAAAAAAAGTTAATCACACAGTTTTACTGAAATTTGGCAAACATTTCATGCTATTTTTAATCACATGGTCTGTTTCTGAAGTACAGAGCAACTGACAATGAAGTCACTGAAAGTAGTGTGCAAGTTTATTTTGTTTTTTCTTAAAAATTATAAAAATCTCATTTACTTTAATAGACATCTTGAATTTTAGAGAATAAATATTAGCTTGATATAAAGAGTATTAATGCTATAGAACTCTAGGACGAGCTCTGTTTCAACTTACAGGGCCAGGATGAAGTCTGAAGCCGGTCAACTGGGCTCCGAATAATGGCACCAACTCTTTTCCACAAATTGGAGGTTTTTCGATCAACGAGCGCAGTGAACTGAAATTAGCATGTAATCACATTTAAACCTAAGTTTATAAGATGACTCTGTTGTACTTAAAATAGGGAGATTTGTTTGACTTTCTTTAATTAACAGTTCAAGGTTGAAATTACCATTACATATGCTGATAAATCCTGCAAGAGTTATCAGATATCCAGTTTATATCTGTGGTTTAGGATCACCGAAAGGGGGTGTTACCTGACCTCATTAATACTCCTTTGTTCTCCTGGAGGAGGATGGGAAAATGTTGTTTATTTTTCTGATACAGTTGGCCTTACATCACCACGTGTTAGCAGGTAATCCAAAATGGATGAGAGATAATCCTTCATTTTGAAACACGTGTGTAATTACATGTAATAAATATCTCATAAATTAGAAACACTGAGGTACTAATTAGTTTTAAAAGATTTTATATCAGAAACATAATTCTTAAGTTTGAGCTACTTATTTAATTGATACAAATCCTCGAAAATCAAACTTGTCCCTCTAATTATAGTTTAACAAATAAACAATAATCTTAAACCGATTACAAGGTTACTTACCTGTTATCTTGATGTCCGGGTGTATCAATGTTCCCAGGGAGGGTAGGAAGAAATGCACTTAACTGGTCTTTCATTTTACGACCACAGAATTTGTTATAAGAATGTTCCAGGTTATGATAGGACATCAAATTAGTAGCTCCTGTCCGTTCACTTTGTGCTACAATTATAAATAAGATCATTTAATATTTACTTCTAACAGATTTGTGGAAAATATTTTAAAAAATTTTGATTATTGGTAATTGAAGTAACAACACAATAAAAACTGCTAGACAAAAACAATAAATCTTAGAATTCATTTATAATTTTATCTTAACTTGGAGAAGTAAATATTTTATCGTCCACTGATGTAAAAAAGAAATGATGGTTAGAATTATGATTTTAAAGCAAAAACAATCTCTTTAAAAGTGAAGAATTTTACAAACTCAGTTAGTACACTTCAAGTAACTGATAAATTTTGACAGACTATTAGACAGTACTGCATTGTTAGTGTTAGATTTGCATTAACTTGATACTTTTATTTACTACTTTCGAGATGCACGAAATTACAACCAGACGAGTTTGTTTCCACACAACCAAAACCTATTGTAGCAGATTACCTATAACGATCTTTCTTCAGTAATGATATAATGTGCACACACTCACGGTATAAAGTAACAAATTATCAGTCACGAACACGGTGCAGACTCTTGTAAACAGAATAACATTTTGTTACTGTAACAATGAATGTGGGGTAAATCTTATTTGACAAGTCATTTCATCCTCAAAAAGTTCACAGTTTTGTATTTATGATAGTTAACGAGCAAGTTTGATACACCTATACCTAGGTTTTCAAAAGATTTTCGACAAAGTGCCACATAAAACACTAGTAACAAAAATTATCTCTGTGGGTGTGGGAGATGAGTAAGCACAATGGAGTATGGGATGTTAAGAGGAGATGGCTATAATAAAAGTCGTTCAGGTAAACTGGATGTGAGTTGCGAGTGACACTCCTACTATTTTTGATATCCATTAATGATATTGATCTAGAAATTGATCAAGTTTAGTGATGATATTAAAAGTTTTAGTGGAGTTGGCTATCAGGAGAAACATAATATTTTACAAAGGGTTTGAATGATTTGGTAAATTGGGCAGTTAGAAGTTAGTTAAATGCAAGGTTGTGAAAGTAACCTAACCTAATTTAAGCTGTAATTACCACATTAATGGAGACCAACTCAATGTTTTATGGAAGAAAATGGTATTAGTGGTTTGTCAATCAGTCTCTTAAGTCTTTCAGGCAGTGTGTTTTTGTGCTATTGTCAAAACAAATAGGATTTTGGATTGTATCTACAAAAATATCGAATACAAGTCAAAAGAGGTTATCATTTCTTTGTACACATCCCCGGTCAGCCTCGTTTGGAGTATTGTGTTCAACCTTGGGCTCCTTACTTTATGAAGAACAATGAGTCGTTGGAAAGAATTCAAAGAAAGGCCACTAGAATGATTCCTAGGATTGAAGAACTGTCATATAACGACAACTTATAGTTCATAAAATTATTTTCTCTTTAGACAAGAATGGTTGGAGGGGATCTGACTGAAATGTTCAAAATTAGAGAGAATTGATGGGAGTGTCACATCACTATTTTCACATTTTACTGTAATTTGCAAGAGTGGGAGGTCAAACAGACGGAGCTTTAATATTTGGCAGGATAGAAGTTGTCTGCAAAATAGGCAACTTTAGTTATTTTGAACAGGGCAGTCAGCCTTTGAAATATATTGCCTTCAGATGTGATAGACACGAAATTTCAAAGAAGACTCGAGGAATACTTAAAAATTCTCACGGCTGAATATACACCAATGGGTTTTAACGAAATGTTACAAATCGTACAACTACGATGTTGTCCTGCAAATGCTACGTTCTACAATGATTTATGCTTATATCGTTAAAGTACAAGTTATAGCATTAAAATTATATAAAACAGACAATATACCATAATTAATTTACACGTAGTACTAACAGTACTACTTATGCAACACTAATTTTTCAGCAGCAAATTAACTATACAATTTACAAACAATAAATTAGTTAAGCTTATTAAAAACTAATTCTAAACCATACACTGGAAATGGAACGTACTATTACTCGGCGGTTCCTTCATAAGATAGAATGGTCCGCTATGCACGATTGCAGGTGTTTTCCCAAGCGATATCGTAGTTTTCAAAGTTCCTGTAGAATCTTGACGAGGAACTACTGGTGATCGAGAACCCCTAGGACTCGATTTTGGAGAATGTTGATCTAATCTTAGAAAAACTTCGGCCATTGTCGTTACATTTGTCCAAAATGAAGTATACTTTTCTTCACCATTAAGTGATTAACTCTAACGCAGTATCCGTATTATTAATCACTTGACAATAAGATACAACATCCTTCTAATAAGTCCTCCGAAGTCCAAAACTCCGAATGTTCAACATCTGAAAAATTGTATACATAACAAGCCAAAAGGTGGCAGAAGCATATCTCTCGCTTAGGGGATCGTTTTTATAATTATCCCGAACTAAACCAATAAATATTAAATAGTTTGAATTTGTTGGAGCTTAAAAGTCACATTTAATTTGAATTTAGCTTTTAAAATATAATACGTAAATTAAAATGATAACTTATCGATATTTTGCTACCATTTGAAAGCGTTTTATTAACTATTACTTCATTCTGTCGTCAAACTTATAAATATTGTTTGTCTGTTTGAGTAAAGCACAGAGCCGCATAATTGGCTATCTTTATTGTGCCCACCGTGAATATTGAAACCAGATTTTCAACATTATAAATCCTCAGACTTACTACTGAGACACCGGAGGGAAAATTTAGAAATATCCAATAAAAACAAAACAGTTGAAATATTGTAAATTCTCTTGCAAATAGATAGCAAGTTCATCACAATAACTTGCTGAAGTTGTACTTTTGTCATTAATATGAAACATAGGTTTTAGTCTCAATACAACAAAGTTGGTTAATTGTGTTAAAGCCAACTACAATTAGTTATACATATTCTAACTCCACTCTAGTTATATAACTGGCTCATAGTGCATAAAATGAAGTATTGAATTAGAATTTTAAATCTGAACAACATTTTATGCGGACCCCCTAAGGTTGAAGTATATTAGAGGTTAATTTTGTAACACCGATAAAAGAGAAGTCATGGAGTCAGATCTCCTACAGTCACAACAATTTTGTCTGACTCTTGTAACCGAATAATATGGGGTAACAGTTGAAGGTGCGAAGCTTGCTCAGTGACATCACGTCTTGGGTCCTGGACCCTTCAATCCGTAACTTAACGCGCTATATTCACTAGGCTACTTCCGATTTCACTATGTAGCAATGATTTTGAGTATAAACGATAATTGAGTGACTAAACAGATTACTTAGCAATTTCAGGTAGATGATACAAATAAGAAAATATTTAAATCGAATATACTTGTTCTTTTCAGACTGAATATACTTGTTCTTTTCAGACTGTTATTTTGCTCTAATTTGTACATAGAGTTGAATTATTTCAAAAGTAAGTGTAATTTATTTTTTCACTCAAAAGTTTTTTAACACAAAAAAGTTAGTGACACTAGATTCCTTGTAGAACAGTTTGACAACACTTACGTATGTAAGCATTATACTTAAAAAAGAAAGAAAAAGACCCCTGTATGAACTCATTTTGACCACATCTTACGTTATGGTACATTTGGAATTATTTATTTTATTCTACAAATCGAATTCAGTTATATCAGCTACTCATGTGATCGTATTAGTAGCGCCACCATTAAAGATCTTTTTAAAGTTTAATTAGAAAGCAAGTTGGATTTTAACAGTTGTAATATGGGTGGATTAAAAGTTTATTTTGATTTGTTGTCCCAGCCTGCTCGAGGCGTTCTTTTATTTTTAAAAGCAAACAACATACCGTACATTGCATGTCCTATTGCTCTACGAAAAGGTAAACTAGCCATCAGTTTGACCAGTGGCAAGTGAGAGTCAGAGAAGTAAATGACTGAGGGTGAGGCTAGGTTAAGCTAGAGTTCTTGAGAAGGTTGTCCACAAAGCTGTTATTACTGATAAAATTTCAAACATTAATATTTCACGAAAAAGATATAAGATCAAGGTAGAATAGATTTTACACTTACGGCGTTATATCTTGGCAAAATGAATTAATTATTCTTTGGAAATTTATATTTTGCTGGCTGTTATTTTTACTTGTAGACCTGTGATGCAATTTAAAAGTACACTCCAATATATTACGTACATGATTGCAAGGGACTTGTTGATCCCATCCATTAAATTAAACTTTTGAAATAAAACACTCAAACTCAATCCTTATTCAAATATTTTTCAAGCTTTCTTTTAAGCTAAATTAACTGTATCCACCACATCTGAAGGCAATCCCATTCCAGAGGCCAACCACCCTGTTAGTGTAAGAAAAATAAAGCTGTCTTAGCTGAAGATGACTCCAAAACTGCCGAAATTTATATTTGTGTCTCCTATTTTTGCCATTCTCACCATTAAATACAAAAAAGCTGGTACATTAACATTGCCAATTCTCTCAACAATCTTAAACACCTTAATCAGATTCTTTATTATTCTTCTGTTTTCAAGAGAAAACAATTTGATAGATTTCAACCCCTCCATCACAGGCACCATTCTAGTAACCCTCCTCTGAACCCTTTCCAATAATTCATTGTCCTTCCTAAGA